TACAGTTGTCCCTTGATAATCCGACAGGTATGGGACCAAAGGTGTGTCAGATTACCAAAAGTGTCCGGATTACCGAAAATAATTACATATTTCGCATTGTTTTGCTAGCAGTAACTTACAATATTCTCTACTCCAACTGTTCGAACAGAACTGCTCACATAAAACACACGAAATGTGTGTCATCGAGTAAGAATTGGATGGGGAGATTCACATCGCGACATGCTTCTGTTCAAGCAGACACGTAACGGGGACGGGTACCTTGACGAGAGGTGCGTCGGACTACTGAGCATGTCGGATGAAAAAACGTCGGACTATAGAGGGACAACTGTAGTTAAAAATAAAATTTGAATTAAGTATCTCTTATTAAACATGCATAAATGAGTACTTGTAATGTTAATTTTGCAACAAATTCTCTCAGAAATAATAACTTTGTTGTTTTTTATTTAAAGTGGAAAGTGTGAATTTTGATCCACCATTGTTAACAGAACTGTCTACAGCAAATGAACAGGTATAAAGATTATAATCTATATTAAAATTAAATTATGCATATCGATGCAATGGTAAACTTCTTTCATGTGCTTTAAAGGGACCAGGTCAGTGTGATATTTCTCAAGCTTGGGGTATTTCAGAAGTAAGTTTTTATAATTTAGGATTATATAACATTTTGTATTTAAACAAATTTTAAAATCTGATTGTTTTATAGGATACTGTTACGGAGGATAATTATGATCTACCGACAGCTTGGATGGAACAAGATACAGAAGCAGAAGTTATAAGAAAGTAAGTATTTTTGTTTATCATCTATAAATTTGCTTTTAAAACTTAATATTTATTAATTAATAAAACTCTTATAAATATTAATTATATATTTAAAAAAATAAGTTTTAATATTTCCAGCCCTATGTAAAGATTATTGGATTTTTGCAAACAGTTTTTAGTTAAATGTTGTGAATTATCATAATTTTTAAGCTAATATTGTTTGGTTATAAATAAAATTTCAAATACCAAACAAACAGCTGGATTCTGTATTGGGCTGTAAAGCTAAATAATTATTAAGCATTTTGGCAAGAGACAGACCGCCATCTCCTATTAAGTATAATAATTATAAATAAAATGAATTTAACTTTAGAATATTCTGGAAGAAAAGATTTGAGATAAGCAGGAGTTGTGGTTTGAATCCTGCTCTGCATCTGTCTTTTATTCCAGAATATTCTAAAATTAAAGTAACTTATAATTATTATATTTAACGAGATGGCAGCCTGGTTGCCTGCTTCCTACCAAATTACTTTGCTTATTGAACTGTAAGGCTAAATAATTACTATCTGGCTGCTTGTTTGTTATTTGAAATAACTATTGATTTAGATGTATTTATTATACATAAGCAAAAAATTTAATTTATAAATGTAGCATTATTTCATGAAAAATTATTGATTGTTCTGCTTTGGAAAATGGTTTCAACTGAAGTTGCTTTTAATGTCGAAGAATCAGATCTAAGAAAGTAAAATCTTGTAAAAACTTAAAATATATATTATACTTAAACATATTTTGGCCTTGATGTTTATAAGCAGAACAGTATTTATTATAAATTCATAACAATTTAAAAATTTTTTTCACATTAGTAATAATAATAATTCATATTCTAAAATTGAATGGTATGCGATTGCAAGTTTATTATTACACTAGCTCTTACCTGCGACTTTGCCTATGTGGATTTTGCAAGCAAACACCATTTATACTCAGTATTTCAACAACCATAGTAATTGTTATATAACGCCTGTCGCTGAGAATGATGAGAATTGCCGAGAATCAAACGAACTGTTTTCTATTTGATCAATTTTCTGGAACATTTACAATTGTTCTATAATTGAATCAATATGCAATAACAAATTAAAATTTAAAACGGTTCAAACATTTGGTTAAAAAATCGAAATATATGAAAATATTTAAAACAATGTCTGAAATGTTACCATTTTAATACACCTAAGTACCCAATGAAGACTAAACGTAGTTGAAAACAAAAAGTCACATCTAGAATAGTACAGTAGCTGTTCTTCAGGCTAAGCCTTAATGCTCTCCCTCTCCCCCACGGGGAGAATTTCGAAAAATCCCTTCTTAGTGTGTGTTTTCATGACGTACCCTAACTGTGTACCAAATTTCACCACTTTAGGTTCAGCGGTTTGCTCTGGGCAATGATGAATCAATTAATCAGTCAGGACAAGTAATTTTATATATTTAGATGATGACATTTTTATAACAAAATAAACTAAATTCTGTGGAATGAAATTATTTAACTTTGCATTTAGTTAAATTTTATTTTATAGAAAAGTTTTAAGAGAAATTAATTGAACTAAAAGCTGATTCACATGGATGTCAAAATTAAGACAATAGTCAGTGTCAATGACTGATTTAGACCAGTGGTTCTGTAAATATGGGCCAAGGACCATCCTTTGCCAATCTACTGATCACACCAGATGATGAACAGACTGGCCTAGTAATTTTTACAAAATGCAATTCTATACTGTTTAACCAGAAAAGAGAATATTTTCATGCATCACAAATCTCTCACAATAGATTACTGGATAGGCAAAATATTTTGGCACATATTCTATCATTAGCTAAAGTGATATTTACGGAATAAGAAGAAGACAGCATAGATAATCCATAGTTCATTTGTGACTTGGTTTAAGCAATCCAACTTCGAGAATGAGAGGTTTAAGTGACTATCTAGTTTGACTTTGACGATTGATGGAAACGTTTCAGCCTGCCATTACTTTTCACTGTTCATCTCAATGTTGCCATTCTTAAGAGCATCAAAATGATTTTTTCTTTCAGTTTATACATTTTTTAAATGCCAACTAAATGTAAAATAATCCAATAATCTTTATCAAATCATTAGAAATTAGTTATTTCACTTTAATATGTCAGTATTAAGTACTCTGTAGTAACAGAGTTTTTTGCTTTATTTCCATTACTTGTTCAACTACAGGCTTCGTCGGAGGTAAGATTAAACATTAACTGCTTGATGCACATGCCAAAGTGTTAACTGTTTATAATGATTCGAAAAATATCTTTAAGCTTACTCTTTATTTTATCCATTCTGCTAACACTGTTTGAAGTATTAATTAATTATTTTTTTCCTTTTATTTTACTAAATTACATTCACGGTTTAAATTGATTCTTGGCTGTTGCTATAAATAATTTATGCTAACCTTTGCCATCTTCAGCTTAATATGGTATGGTGTGTGAAAGCATGAGTATTTGAAATGTAATTGGTTTAATTAAATTTTTTATTAAATGTTCATTAATCCCAATTAATATATAAGAATTCAGCATGAAATTAGTTACTATTTAACTTCATCTTTAGAGTTAATGTAGCTGGTGGGAGTGAAGCACTGTTTTGTGATGCCTTAAGAAGTCTTCTTGAGATTGTAGATGAAGAATTACTTCAAAGGTATGGGTTTGCATGATCTTTCTCTCCTGTTCCCACTCTATCCTCTGGATTAATTTTAATTTACTGTTAAGTTGCTTCTCAGTCACATACAAGTCTTAATTAATCAGACAAACAACTTGACCAAACATTAGCAGCTTACAGAAATTAACCTGCTTTTATTTGCCAGTGCTCGAATTTAAGACATTAACAGTTACTTCTGGTAAACATTTGCTTGTTTTATATTTTATTTTAATATTAGAAGTAAGAAAAATGCAATAAAGACTACTAAAATGGACTTTTTCTATGTTTGTTTCCATAAATTTTCAGTTATAAACATCAGTTAAAGTTTTTTGTTTTTTCATTTGTAATATAATTTATTGTAATAAAGCTTACATTTTTTATAACTTGCTTTTTATTACTATTAAAATTATTATTTTATTTTGTTTGTAATAAACATGCTTAAACAGAAATTTACTGATTTAAATATGTTTTGTTCAAGTAATAAAAGTTTGTATTTTTGCAGTTTTGTGAATTATATGGAATTTGATATTAGTCCAATTAAATCAAAATTGAATAAGATTTTAATCTGTTTTAGCATAAAATTCTATATAATTTACAACTTTATGTGTTTTTTTCCTGCAGAATTAGCCCAGAAACACAATCACAGTTAATTTTCTTTTTACTGTTACTTGAAGATTATTATACAGAAAAAATAAGTGGTTAATGAACTTCATTATTTTTGGAGAAAATATCTTATTCTTTTAAGACGTATAAGAATAGAGATTCATTTATATTCAATACATTTTTGATACTATTATGCACTCTGCAACATGCAAAAACTTGTATGCAAGCATTGACACTTTAAAGATCTCAATATATGGAATCTACAGAATCATAGTTTAGACACTGATTCTTAATAATTTAATTACAATTTTGACATTATTTCAAATAAAAACATCTGAATTATGATTTAAAATGAAAAGGTATTAAAAATATATATAAATCATCAAAAATGATTTATATATATTTTTAAGTGTTTTAATATAGTATTTAAGTAGAGATTAAAATTTTAAAGAATGTGTCATCTGGTAAAGCTGCTTTAATATAGCTGTATAAGCAAGCCAACGACATCCATTTCAAATGAAACAGATTGTGTCATTGGTTTTCTTATGTAGCTGTATCAAGGCTGCTTTATCAGGAAACAAATCCAAAGCATGTTTGTGTGGTGCTCATACATACAAATAGTGTCTAGAAAACTTCAGGATTTCACTTATCATACAAAATAATTAAAACATTTCATTTGACATAGCTCTAGAAACACTTTCTTTCTATGTTAGAATTGTTTCATCACAAAGAGAAACACACTGTAGTAGCAGAAAAATATAAGTAACACTAATTTATGTGCTGACATATAAGTTAGTAGACTGTCAGTATACTGACATTTTTCACAGGGCATACAAAACCTAAACCACCCACATCAACAGACCTTCTGTGATTATTGATATTAAGTTTATTTGTTTCTTAGTAATGCTTGAGAATCAGTTATTGGCTATTTACACAGCTTAGGAGATGTCCATAAATTATGTAACAGGTGGGTATGCAGGTGATCATTACAATAGATTACAAGGGCTGGGGATGTTTACAAAAATGTTACATAGAGTTGAGACCTTTGATTAAAATGATTCGTTTTTGTTCTGAATTGTTGCATAGTGTATTACACTGTTTATGTCACTGCTTTGTACATTATACATGTAATTAATAAAATATTTGGTACCCTGTGTTGTATATTATTCCATAGTATACAAGATTGATTCGGAATATGTTATGTAATTTTGGAAATGGGTATGATAGCAATATGGAGTGTTACATGAGGTGGGATAACTCCTGTAACACTCCATATTTTTTCTACTACCATCCCATAGTAGAGAAAATATTAAAATAGTATTACATAATTTATGGACAATTCCTTATCATGCTATGATGTTTGAATACCACATCAGTTGAACAAGAGAAATCTGATTCACTGTAATGTAATTAGATGAATTCCTTTGAAGAAACTAATGGCAAAAACTAATGACAAAAAATGGATAGTTTGTGTTAATGTGTGGTGAAAAAGATCATGGAGAAAAAATTATCAGATGCAATGTTTTAAGCCACACAGTCTCTCAATCTTGCACCTTGAGATTATTTTACTTATTTTAATCTCTGCAAAATAATTGATGCAGAAAGATATATTTTCTTGAAAAGTCCCCAGAATTCTTCGCATGCAAGTAAATTATACATGCAAAAAATTCGGGGACTACTGAGCTGTGTAAAGTTTTAATATAATTTATAATAAATTGCTTGAATGGCTTTATATAAATGTTTTCATTAGTTTTTATATTCAATTTTTCTATTTTTGAAATAAAAATATTTATGAATTCCTTGGAGCATTCATTTGTTAGCAGATCCTGAGGAGTTGCAAACATTCTCCAAGGAATCTATAAGATCTCTGTTTGAGAAACTCTGATCTAGATTTCAATGAACTTAATGTTAAGAACTAAAATGACTAATCTATAAATATTTAAATTTTTAAGGGGTCATCAAACAAGTTTAACAGAATTTGACAGAGATCTTCAATTTACTCAACAGTGAGTATGTAAATCTATTAGCTATTAATAAAATATCTATAATTTTATTATATAAACAAGTGATTAAGTATAAAATGCAAATTATTTTAAAAGGAACTTATTATGTATTCACAAGAACTTTCTTTCTTTTTATAGATTAGTGCCGTTTAAAAATTTTTTTTAGTTAGAGGTCAAAGGTTAATATATAAAAACATGCAGCTTTCAGTTTTTTGTTAATTTAAAAACACTTTTTATGTAAAAAGTCATACAAAGTCAAAATCTTTAGATTTTCAAATGGCTGTAGTCTTTCCCAGAATTTAGTAGTCGAGTGGATAAAACCACCAAACACTTATAGTTGGTCATGGGTTTGCACCTGACTGATAAGGCTGCATGAAATTTTCTGGGTTTTCTTCATATACCTAACTCCTCAAAATAGGACGTTTCCCATAGTAAGTCCTCTAGAGAAGCATCCCCTTGGCAGATTGTCGATGCGTTACATTGTAATAACTTGTCAAACCAAAACCAAACCTTTTCCAGAATAAGAATAGAGTCAACAGGTGACCGAGATTTTTAATACATAAGGCTACTGCTCTGCAGACTAGGGATCAAATCTGGACAATCAAAAAACCCAGGGTGATCAGTTTCAGATATGTCAGACTCCATCCCTTGCCATCTGGCATCTTCATTATAGGACTGTCCAAACCAATGATCAGTATAAGTAAAAGTCCTTATTGCCCACAAGGTGGAAATAACAAAAAAGAAAAGAGACAATTTTTTAAACTATTTTTCTTTGTATACGTGTACATTAGTCTACATATGCAAAGGAATTAGTTTTGTCTTATAAAGTCTTACCTGAATTGAATTACACCAAATCCAATGATAAACTTTTACATCAATCTGATATCATTTTATAACTTTCCATTACAAAAAACCATAGGAATGATATCAAACCAATGTAAAAGTGTAATTTTCTGGCAAAATGATTGTGCCTTTAATTTAAAAGGCATGAAGAGCAACAAAAAGATCTTTATAAGAATTTATAAATTGTAAATTCTCGATTATCTGTAATAAATTGGGGAAAATGTCATCATAGTTAATAAAAATTCCAGTTAATTCTGCACTGCTTAAATCCTAACTGAATATAGACCCAGTAAATGAAACTGGTGAAATTTAAAAGAAATGTGAAGAAAACAGTATGTATGACTACTTCATGCATTCATTTATAATAAGCCGGACACTTCAGCAAAGTATTGTTTTCCCTCCCCTTACCTGCAAAGCCGATAGGTCATAAAACAATTTGTGATAACTTAATGACTCTTCAGGCATTTTTTTTCCACTGGTTAATCTACTTCTGGATAATTGAGTATACCATATGTGTGTTACAGCTCTTGATGATTTTTTTATTATTATTGTATTTATTTTAACACATTCTTGTTAACTTCATTTTAATCAAGGATATGAATAATAAAAAATTTAAGTCTCTACATTATTCTCTTCGTTTGCTGCTTTTAAAATAGCAGATGCTTAGTGATATTGAGTTTTATTATATTATATTATATTATAAAATTATATGAGAGCAAGAGAGACTTCTAAAATTCATAAAGTATGTCAAAATGCTATTAAGACAACCCATTACAATAACATTTACCTATTTATTAAATATAAAATTAGTTCATTACAGTCTGAATTTATTACTCTGGAAATTTTATATTTGATAAAGCTGTCAGAATAAAATATTCTTATTTAAACATGTCAGTTTTATATTCTCTTGGAAGCAATGCATGATATCAATCTCTTGTGTAAAGAGAGAGATGTGAAACAATATCATTAATGTAATAGCAAATGAGTTTAAGTAGAAGTTTTGATAATATATATTAAAAAAATGTTACATTTATGATAATTAATGTATAAATTATTTAATTTTTCAGAGCTACACTGCCATTAGAAAGATCAGAAAAAGAATCAAATAGTCAAGTGAGTATAACTAACTATTTTCGTTTCTCATAAAAAATAAAATTGAATCAAAATTTCACCTCTCCCGAAAGTGAAGTTATGCTTACATTTCTCTGCTAACAATACTTTACATGAAAGTAAAGCAAATGTTCTACAATTTGCTCTATTTTTATTACACATTTTTGTCATTTTGACTTGACAATGTTTTCTGTTATCAAAATTCAGTACGAAATTCTTGATTATTTTTGAATATTATAGATTCCCACAACAACTTCTCACCTTTACATTTGTTGTTGGTTTTCTGCTACAACTGTATGGAATGCTGTAGTTTTTGTTATAGGCTTTTTCAGTAAAATTCAAACTATATTTCAGGAACATGGCATCAATTTATAACATTGAGCTTATGGGAATTACAGTGGAACTTTGGTATTTGACCTTAATCCATTCCTAATGTTTGGACTTATACCGAATATGATGTATACCAAACCAACCTTTCCCATAAGAAGTAATGTAAAAATGATTAATCCGTTCTCATGCAAAAAAAAATATGGATGGTTTTAAACACCTCGCTTTCCTGGTTAGTTCTGGCTTGATTTTTCATGAGATCAACATGTATCTTTTTAGCTTTCTCACAAATAATTGCTTCCGATAGGATATCGCCAGCACATTGTTTTTCAGTTATCTAAGCAAAAGTAATTTCTCAACATAATCTAATGTTTTCGATCTCTGTTTAGAAATTGATTTAACTCCTTTTGCAACATTAGCAGATTTAATAATGTCTTTATTTTTCACGATGTCGATATCGTCGTTCTCAGAATATGGTATGCAACAGTTAAATCTCGAACACGCATGCCACCTTCATATTCCTCAACCACCTCTTTTTTCAGTTCCATTGCGATTCTAGTCATTTTTTTTTAGTTTTCTGTTGCTTTTCACTTGCCTTTTTGCAATTCATGATTAATAAAAATAATAAAATTTTACTTACAAATTAAAATCAGAAGAAATTTAACAAAGTTATAAACTGTGGCACCGTGAACATCTAGTGTAGTCTAGTACACTGATAGTGCTACTTGTTCATAGATGGCGTGTATACCGAGCAAAATTTGTTTCGTCTAAACAGGACGTATTCTAAAGCAGACGTATACCAAGGTACCACTGTACTATGGTTTACTTAGCTTTCATCAAACCAGTTAGATGTTAACATTGGGAATCTGTTGTATATTCTATTAGAAGCAAATATTTAGATCATTAAATTTGATAAAATCAGAAATTTGTTTATTATTATTTGGTAATCATTAGAAAAACTCAAATTCTCAATATAATGTTTGAAGAAGTATAAAATCATTTTATAATCTATCCTTATGTATTATAGAATATTCTGCTTTTATTTTGAAACTTTGCCTTTTCAGTTTTGGCACAATAAAGATATTGATTTTATGTATAGTCATATAAAAATGGATGGACTGTTATCCCAATTAATGGGCTATCTTCAAGTGTGAACGGATGTTGACCATGTTGAAAAAGTTAGCAATTATCCAATCTTACTGACTGTTCAAGCTGCATTGCTTGCTTCATCATGTTTGTTTTTATTTACCATAACTGAAGGCTTACATAGTCAAAATTAAACAAGTAAATCCAGAAACATGTTATTTTCATTGTTCTACAGTAGAATCGTGGTTATCTGAGTTCCAATTAACCAAGCTCTGTGTTATCTGAGGTAAACCAGAAAATGCAATACACTACTTTTCTTATAATTCATAAAAGTTTTGCAGTGAATGTACCGAGCAAACAAAGAGCCAGTAACTGTCAGAATGTGGGCATAAGTTACTAGCCCCTCTCTAACTGCACACCTCTTGTCTATGATGAGCACGTAAAGGAAGCATGTTGTGATACTCTTTTAATCTGAAATGGTTGCTACCATCCGTTTTAATGAAGTTTTCATTTATTAAAAGTAGCATAAGTCCAAGTTAGCTCTACTGTATTTTGAATTTGCTAATCTCTACATGAAGCTAAACATGTCTTAACTCTGGAACTACAAAATAATCAAGCTATTTCTCTTTCCAAAGTATAGAAGATGTGTCCAATCATCTTATAAATTGGCATTTATCTAATAATTAGAGATATAAACATCTACCAAAACCTGATGCTTAGCAAATAGACACCCATGATTGCTGTAAATAATTGGGCTGTAATTTGGAAATATTAATTATGAATTATAAATAAATTTGGCACTAGAGAGGGGCGTTAAATTTAATATGAGATGGCACCTAATAATTATAATATTTAATTAATTAATGTAGAATAAACTGAAAGAAAAGAATTGTCTCAAAGCAGGACTCGAACCCGCAACTCCTGCTTACAGTGCAGATGCATTGCCAGTTACACTACCCAGACCTTTGGTCTGATCTCTCTCTTTCAGTATATATGTATAACCATCAATGGTTAATACTGTGTCAAGGGCATGGGTGTGTCCCCAGTTGGCACTGCTTTAAGATTCAAATCTGTGGTTTGATCCAATCTGTATTTGTTAGTTTTTAATTCAGAAAGTTTATCATAATTGCTCTAATATTTCATTAAATTAATAAATATTCTTTTTGTTCATTATTATTACTATATTTATAATTTTTGTATACAAGTCAAAATTCGGAGAACAATATAAATTTATGTTTTTACTATAACTAGTTACAACAGGCAGAAAAATCAAAATTAATGCTATTTGAATTATCTGTAATAAAACAAAGAGAAATTTCTGAAGCTCAAATTATAAGAAAATTATGTTTTATTGGAGTAATTTCTTTAAATAGAATTTATTCCTTTAAATTATAATTTTCTTATAAAAGTAGTATATAACTGATAAATTATTATTGTAAAATCCAAAAATGAAATAAAGAAACTGGATAACCATTAATTCCAGCATAAATTCTTCAATAATGAACATTTTTTTTTACCTTATTCAAATCCCTTTATCAGGCAACTTATGAATAAATACCTTGTGTTCTTGCTCAAGTCATTCACAGAACATCTATAGATGGCATACGGTGCACAAATTTAAAGTTACGTAGTCTGATGAAGGCCTTCAAATCAGATCAAAAACGTTCATTATTAAAGAATTTTTGCTGGAATTTATGGCTGTTTACATTTTTCTATTGTAAAATTCACCAAATATTGTCATTTGTAATGGTTTTCTTTTCTTTTTATATCAGGAAAACATCATGTTTTTGTATTTTAGACCATGAATACAATTAATAAATCCATCTTTACATCATATGACATAAAAGATACTTTAACATTTTTAACTTGAATAATATCTTTTACTTAAAAGTATTTTAAAATTCTGTCAAAGATTCAGTATGATTATGGAAAATACCAGATTGTTTGGATAATATTTCTACAGTATATAGTCTCATTAATCTCAAATTATTCCTACTAGATTGTGTTAATTTGCAAAATCTCTTGTCTGCTGTAATAAAACACTATAGCACTCCGATTTTTGACTTAAAAATTTCAGTTACTTGTTAGTTCAGTAAGAAATCCTCCTGAAGATTCGGGGACATATCAGTAATAGTAAACTGATAAGTTTGGACGAGGAGGAAGAGCAAAATTCAGATATCAATATTTTGCATTCATTCTTTTAATAGTAAAAAAAAGAATGAAGGAAATGTTTTCTGAGATAGTATTACTTTAATTTTTATTCTGTGAACTATTCAATAACAAAATATCGATAAATTTTTAATTTTATTTTAAAATTGAAAATTTATGTTATCAATTTGTATTCTCAAGTGCCATTAAGTTTGAGTTGAACAAAACATATTAAAGGTGTTGAATGGTCCAAACTTGTTCTGTAGAGTTATGATTCAAATTGCAATTTTCAACCAGACAGGCAACTACAACTGCAGCTGCTAAAACTATGACTGTTTACATTGAATAGAAAACCCCTCCAAATACTGTGTGAGTGTAACCATAACTGAAAACAAAAAGTCTGTTGATTTAAAAGCTTCTTGTCCTGGTTGTATTAATGTCTTCTACGTGAGCATAAAATTGCTATAATTGACTTATCATACAGGAAAAATGGCAATATGGTGTAAAAAATAGGCTTTAATGCATTTCAGATGTGCTGTAAACAGAACTAGAGAGGAGTACAATACCCGAAATGCATATTTTGTTTGATTAAAGCCTATTTTTCCTTTACAATAAGTCCATTATAGCAATTTTATGTTCACATAGATGATGATAAAAAGTTTGTCTGTGCACTTGAAATTGATATGATCAATTTCAAGTGAACAATGAACAAATATCTTCCAGATAGTCAAAAAGTAGCTATAAAAGATTAAAACAAGGGAAAAAAGGACAAGAAGCTTTATGAATGAAAATATCTTGTTTACATTATTTTAACTATTTAAGATGGCAGAAAATTAATTCATCATGATTCTAATTTAATAGAATTGATTCACAATCATGAATGCCAGTGGATTTTCTTTGTCATTAAATAGTGCCATCCTTTAAAATTAAATTAAAGATTTCTCTTTTCATCAAATGATTTAGTCATTTTTCTAATCATGCAATTTAATGTCAATCGTAACCTAGAATTTCACTGGTCACTTTGTAACTATGGTATGTTGCAACTAGGTCTCAAGTGTATGACCATTGATCTGCTCATGAAACTTCTAGATATTGTGATCACGGTTGGTCCTGCAGCCAAAAATTGAAAAATGTAATTTTAAAAAAATAATTAATACTTGAATAATTTTATTCCATATGATGTCAACACGTCCATGTGCTACACAAATAACTCAACCATCCAGAGTTTGGATTATAAACAATTTGGCTTGAAGAGGAATGTAAATTAACATTAGAGTCTTGTATTCACAACAATCTGGCATGTGATTCCTTTCCTTCCCTGTTTAATGTGCTTTCATTTCACTTCATTGCTTTTAATTTAGTATTATTCAATTTTTTTTAATGTAAAATTTGAACATGCACTAGTGTCAGTGGCATAATTAAGCACAGACTGTTACCAGAACAATTACAAAAATATTCCAGTATTTTGTTATTGAAATGCTTTCTTTAAATTAGGTATTCTTTCTTTAGATGAATTTAATTACTCTTACAACTTTTAATTTCCATTATTTTTGCATAGAAGAATTTAGACAGAAATTCAGCCTTAAAAAAGGAATCTGTTATTAAAGAAAATGGCCATTCTTCCAATGATCTAGAGGATGCTAATCTTAGGTGTAATGAACCAAGGAATCGTCTCTCTCAAGGTAAGATTTTTGTCAACTTTTTTTTTTTTTTTGTTAATTTTATAATACTAAAACACAAATTTTGTTCACGAACAATCATACCATCCAATTTCTTCTATTCTTAGATGAAAATATGGAAGAATACAATACTCCACCGAGCACTCCTTCACCTCTCATTAACGAAAATGGGACATTACCTTCCACTGTCAGCTTGAGGACGGATTCTCGGCAGAAAGAGTGGAACCACGTGACACCTGAGAGCAAAGACGAACAAATAAATGACGTTCCACCCGAAGTTCCACCCAGGCGAAAAGATCGGAAAAAATACACACCACCCGTAATACTAGATTTACTTTGGTATAGCAAATGGCAGAATATAATTATAGCATTTTATTAATAAAATTTCAATTTTTCAGAGACCAGTTAGTAACGGTCTTCCTCCTACTCCAAAAGTTCATGTAAGTTACATTTCTTTCTTCTTCCTTTTAGAAATTTCACACATTTCATACCATTAAACTTCAGAAATTTGTGATATGGACTTTTCTGTCTTCTAGAAATTGAAGTCAAACACAAAAATGTCAATATTTTTGGTTCCCTTCACTGAGCAGTATATTCATTAGAAATATTTTCAATTTTCCTGAAGCATCACTAGCCATTCTAAATAGAACAGTAAATTACAGGATGTAACTAAATGATGTCCCAATTCCAAAAAAGTGTTACCTACAGTGCATCAAACATAGGACAATGATACATACACAGACATAGATGCAATCTCTTAAAGTTTCTTACATATTTTATAAATGCTCAATGTGAGCCCCCTCATTACACTGCAGGCATCAACTCAGTATTCTATTCATCTCATACATGGTGCGGTGTACTCCTATCAATTGCAATGGTGGCAGTGATACGGGCCTGCAAATCTGCCAGATTTGTCTGCATTGGTGGAACAAACAGAATCCTTCACATACAATCTCACAAGTACAAGTCACATGGCAATAAGTTGGGGAATCATGGAAGCCAGGACAAGAACTGTTGATTGCCATTCCCTGAACAACTAATCCATCTATTTGGTAACTGCATGTCAAGAAATCTCTGTGGAAGTGAGGCAGAATACAATCTTGCTGATAAATGAAATAGGTAATGTCACTTTTTAGCTGTGGCATCAGCCACTGTTCTATCATGGCCAATAGGTGGTACTCATCACAGTGGATTCACAAAAGAAGAAAGATCTGTATATGTTGAATTGAATTAAAAGTGCACAGAAAATGTTAGTTGTCAGAAAATCCAAATACTGTAAGATATGGGTTTAGGAGACAGAAAACCCTCATATATTGTGTGTGTTAACCTTTCTACTTAGAAAGGTCACATCATCACCTCAACAAGATGACCACCAAAATCGTCATCTTGTTCTGTGAGGCCTTTGGCCTCTGAAGTACTCAGAGGAAAATTCCCACAACAGAACAGTAAATTGGTTGTCCAGAAACTTTTTTCTAGATTATTTGAAACAAATTTCAGATAAATTGTCATATTAGGATAATTTGAGTGTAATTTTGAAAGATATATTAGTTGAAGAATAAAAAATTGCATTATTAACATTGTTTGTGTTTCTTGTTTGATGAAGGGAAGAATGCTGATGCAGCTGCTAGGAAATTACATACGATTATAATGAGGATGCTATAACAGAAAATATGGCTCAGTATAGGTTTAAGAAATTTAAAAGTGGAAAATCAAATGATAAAGATGAATCTCAGCAGGAAGATCTTTGATCACTGATAGTTAGTCAAAAATAACCCAAGAATGACTGTATGAGAGTTTGCAGAAAACCTTCAAGTTCCATCATCAACAGTTTCTAAAAATTTTAAAGAATTTAAGCTGTGTGAATCACTTTGATGTTTGTACAGTACAATAATGGCATATAAAAAGAAGTCAAGCAAGGTTAGTGTTGACTGCCTGATGGGTTTACTGAGAAATTATCCATTATGAATTATTGGGAAATAATAAATTGTGGCAAGTATTGCTAGAAGACCGAGTGTCCAATCGAAGCAATTGCTCAAAAGTAGCCTGTATTAAAGCATGAATGAGGTCTTATTCCATTAAAACTATGTACACTATGTTATTGTACGGATGCACTTGTTATCCAGAGATTAATTAATTAATGAATTCAAACAGGGAAACAAAGGAACATCCCATTACATTCACCAGGTTTTGCTTCCTCTGAAGTTTACATATTCCAGTCTGTACAGAACTCTAAGGAAAAACTTTCCAGAACCGAGATAATGTAAAATGGTGTCTCAAAGGATTTTTTGATAGATGGAATCCAGATTTGTAAATTAGAAGAAAGATGGCTAAATATAATTGATAACATTAAAATTTTGTACTTTATTTTCCAAAGTTTTGCTTTGAAATTTTCTTGACAGCCAAAAATATTATATATTTGGCAGTAGTGATCAACCTTTCACTCTGACAAGGACAGGGCCAGACATTAGAATGAAACTTGGTGAGTACAGAGCCCTAAATACAAACAGCTTTTTGTCAAAATAATAGGACTCACTTCTCAAGCATTTCCAAAAACTGGCCTCTAAAAATTGAGTGTTTAGCTTTTATACATCTTTGGAAGTTTCACTTTTCCTTGAAATGGCAATAACCAAGTGGATACTGTGCTAGGCACTGTAACTACACTAGGGTTTCTCAAATGGGATCCTGGTAGTTTTTTTAACCTGGGAAATTCTTCTCATCCTGGGAAATCCTGCAAATTTCTTAAAAGTTCAATTTTTTTCTTATTTTGTGTTAAGGTTGAGGAAATTTTCCAAATAGGAAGTATAATTAACTCAAAAACTGTCAGAATACATTTGTATTTATTAATTTTAAATCTACTTATTAGTTTTTTTAATTTTTGTTCGTTATGGCATGTCACAAATGGTCAATAACGTATTCGTGGCAGGACTCTGAAAATTCTTTACTTGTCAGAACCTGTAATATCTGGAATTATTGTGCTTATGCTGTCTTAATTTTTAACCATGCCTGGTAGCTTCAATAACTGCGTAACGTCAGGTTGTGCAAATTGGGCAAGAATATAAACAAGTATGAAGTCTGCAAGTATTTTCTTTAATAATCAAGTTTTTCTTCATAAACTTGATTATTAAAGACAAACGAACTGCCAAATTATCAGGCAGTTCGTTTAATAGAAACTTGATGTTTCTATTAAAGCATCCAAAGTAGACAAATCAAGAATAGTAAAGAGCAAAAGAAGTACTAGTACTACAATTTCGAAAACAAACTAGAAATCTTCCAGGCTACAGGTGAAGAAAAACATAACATCAGTCTCTCATAAATGCATTAAAGACAATTCCACTTACATCAATTGAATCAGAAAGGGATTCTTGGTAGCAGAACTTTTCATTAGTTAAATAAGAACCAGGTCGACTGATTGGAGTATTGACTATGTTTGCTTTTTAATATAATTTTGGAGGTTGCAGAACGTATTAAATTACTTTAAAAAATGAAAAATAATTAATTCTATCCCAGAATCCGGGGACAAGCAAAAGACTGGGAAAATAATTACAATTGAGAAAGTTCGAACCTACATTGTGTAGTTCCAGTGTCTAGCATCGTATCAAAACTTCCAAAGATTTAAAAGCTAAACACTCAATTTTCAGAGGTCCATTTTTCAGAAATGTTTGAAAAGTGGGTCTTACTATTTGGACAAGGAGCTGCTTGTGTTTAGTACTACATGCTCACGAAGTTTTATTTGAATTGGACACCCAAACATTTTGTCCTCTTCTTACGAGCGATTTGGGTTTGAGTTACAAATTTTAATGTGGTCAGAATTAAATCCTGACCAAATTACTTTGTGCTGCTATTCTCTGTATATTTTGCAGCAATATCTTTCTGGAGAATCAAGGCCCATTAAAATTCCTAACTCAAAACCATATCACTGAGTGGAAAATCTATCATCACTGCTCCAAGAGACCTAGACTGATCTTGTAGTTAAATTGCATAATGGCCAAAACAACTGTAATTTGCATTTAAAGTCATAAGATCAAAGTTCAGTTCACCAACTGTTTCTAAATATATTTTAAGTTACCTAAAGACTTAAATTGGGATAGAAAAACCAAATCATAACAACCATATAGACTAAATTGTATTAATGCATGTTCTAGTTTGTTAATTAAATTTTCTATGTGCATTTCCAATTAATATTTTTGGGATTATTGTTTCATTTTAGATGGGTGCTTGCTTCTCTAAAGTATTCAATGGATGTCCACTTCGTATTAATTGCACTGCAAGCTGGATACATCCAGAAACGAGAGGTAAGAACACATCTTTCTCAATGGTAAGAATTAATTGTTAAACCAATGTTACTATTTTATCCAGACCAACATATATTATTTGGTTGCGAAGAGGGAATATACATCCTTAATCTCAATGAATTACATGATGCTTCAATGGACCAAGTACGTATGATGCGTGAGTAATTGTCATTTACATTAATTCAAGATTAATCTCGTGGTCTTTTCAGTTGTATCCACGTCGCACCATCTGGATGTTCGTCATCAAAGACGTGCTGATGACAGTTTCAGGTAGAGTTTAGTTTCTGCACTTCCAATTTGTTAAAATCAGGAGTGGTCCGCTCACATGTTTGATTTCATTCCAGGTAAAACGCAGCATCTCTACAGGCACGATCTCTTACTTCTTTGTAGCAAACAAACAAATAGGTTTTCCCTCCCAATGAACAAAATCCCCGAAAGATTCTTTCCAAGGTACATCCTAACTCTAGAGTGTGTCATAAGTAATGTTAAAAATTTTAGACAGAAATTTTTCCATCGTCAGAAAATTTGCTTCGACCACTAAAGTACCCGATACCAAAGGCTGTATGCGATGTTGCGTGGGCAGGAATCCTTATAACGGTTATAAATACTTGTGCGGTGCTGTCCCTCACGGTTTATTTTTAATGCAATGGTACAGTCCGTTAAATAAATTTATGCTGTTGAAGGTATGCATACTTGTTTTCTTCTTTTGCTCATTAAAATGTAAATAAATGTAACTATCATATCTTTGTACATTTTGGCTGGCCTAGCAATTCGAATGCATCATGCCATCGAAGTTAGATGTTTTCGAAATGGTCATCACGCCAGATTTAGAGTACCCTTTGATTTGTGTAAACGTAAGGAAAGGGTGAGTACATGTAAAATTACTCTAAGTATAATTCTTGTTACAGAATGTATCTTAATATTTCCATCCTCATTCAGGTACGATCGTGGTCATCTAAAATTAGACATGATGAACTTAAACATGACGGCCAGTTGGTTTGGCGAAGACAAAGATGGAACGGAAACAATTCTACCCAGACGAGAATATTTAAACATCATAAATGTCACGCAACTAGAAAAGGATACAATTCTTGTTTGTTATGACAGTTAGTAGGCTTGCTCTCAAACAATTAAAAATGGTTATTGAATTTTACTAAAAATTTGTTTCTCCCACAGACCTGGTAAAGGTTGTAAACTTGCAAGGAAAACTCAAGTCAAGTAGACGTCAGCCAGCCGAACTTCATTTCGACTTCCCCATCGAAAGTGTCGGTAAGTTATCGTGAACGTAATGTTTATGTATATTGTTCTTTTAAGATTCAGTAATGTGTTTTTGTTGTAGTTTGTCTGACGGATAGTGTACTGGCTTTTCATAAACACGGAATGCAAGGAAGAAGCTTTAAAAATAATGAAATAGTACAAGAAATAAGTGATCACACACGTATATTCCGCATGTTAGGATCGGACAGGTATGGATTTTCACAATTTAATCCTCCTATGATATATGGTTTAATTTACATAAGAAAAGAAACAATTAAGACCTGTTTTTGCTGTTTAAAAATAATGTGCAATGAACATTGTAGAACAGTTGAGGCAATAGTGTTCCTAATTGTAGCATTTTCGTAGTGTCTGGATCTGGATTTGAACTTGTGACATGACAAACTATGACAGTGTGTTCTAAAACAAGTTCTATCTGGCAGTGGAAGTCTATTAAGACATTGCTTCTAATTTGTCTAGTTTCCTGTCAACTGTGTGCGCCTAATGATTAGATCATTAGATGTTTAGAACAATTCAAATATTAGAGTTGCATAGAAAAAAAATAGATATTTTTTGTATGCAACTCCAATACTTGAATTGTTTCATACTACAGTGGAAACTGGTCTTCTAATTGGTGAATTTTGATGCAAGATAACTGCAGATTATTGTATCTATACAATAACAATACTAAAAATATCATTTCAGGGTGGTGGTCCTAGAGAGCAAACCGACGGATGACCCCAACAGCCCTTCCAACGTTTATATTCTGGCAGGACACGAAAACAGCTATTGATGTTTATGCTCCGTTTGGATACACATACACACACACACATATATATCACGTGCCATGTTTTACGTCGAAGAACAACAATGCGACGGGACTCTGTCCTCCTTGATCGACTGTGATCAGACGCTCAGAGAACACTTTTCTTAACCGTCGTGACGTTTTGCGTGTTTAAGTACAAAACTTGTGTCAAAAAACAAAACAAAAAAAAAATTCTGAGACACCACCCATTGTATAAAGAGATTTGCAGTGTCGGATTTTTTTTATTATTATTGTTATTATTGTGTGCATTTGCCATTCATTAATTTATTTCCCAAGGTGTGAGCCAGTTTTTTGGGATTTGGTTATTTTCCCAAAGCCAATGCATATCCTGTATATAATATATATAATCTACAGTGTATTGTATATACAGTGCACATAGACAAAACACCACACACAAACACTGCTAAAGAGCTTGGCAATTGTAACTTTACACTTTTTTTAGTTGTAGATATCACGCATTTCCTACTTCCTCTATTAAAAAAGAAAAAAAAAACAAAACAGTACCTCATATTCATTTGGATAATTTAAGTGTATAAACAGAACATTATCTTACCTATTATTATTATTATAATTATATGTCAGTTGTTTAAATAGATGTACGTAATAAAACGAAAAACAATTACACCAGACGCGAACTTAGTGGATTAGCATCCCGACGTATTTAAAAATATAAAAAGTATATTAAAAAAAAAATATATATATATATATATCGAGAATGTATTATAGGACCTCAAGGGTCTGTATGCAAGAAAACCTCAACGCAGAGCAAAAAAACACATTTTATTCTATGCAGCAATACAGAGAATAATAAGAGAACCACATTGTAAATAGGTACAGAAATTTGTAAAGATGGCAAATGGTCTATTATTATTATTATTATAATTATATTATTATTAATTATATCGGACATTGTTGAGTAATTGTTAAAGAGAAACAAAAGATTTGTTAAAATTTGTGTTGAAGAGTAAAAATATATATATATAAAAAAAAAACAAAAGATATATCCATTTTTCGTGAGCATTAACATTGTTAAGCATGTTCTAAGGAAAAAAACATATATATACTCTTGTGTTCAACAATACAAAAACAATACAACCTTCCATTTATTTTAAGTCTTAGAATTATTAGAATTTTTTTACATGTATATGTTTATAAAATTATTGTATGATTATATTTTGAATTCCTTTTTTCTATTTTTTTGTTTAGAAGATTTTTAAAAAATTTTTATGGCAAATTTTGTTAAAATAATTAATTAATTAATTAAAAAAAATTTAAATGAATATTTTGAAAAGATGATATATAAATATATAAATTTTTTATGGTTGAATATGTAGAATGAATATTTGGGTTTATAAACAAAAGAAAATGGGGGGAAAAAAGCATTGTAATGGTCGAGTACGGTTGGACTTGATGGGTGTTGTTACAAACAATTTTGTGAGAATGTTTGTGTCAATAAAGACATTGAATATAAGTACTTGGTTTCTCATGTTTTGTGTTATTTGTGGCTCGATAATTTCTTACGGGATACATAGTAAAGTCCTTGTACACCACATTAGCTACAAACGTCACGTACAAGTTAAGTGACTATGCACTGAATGTGGTCTCTTGTAGGGCATTGTCACTTCACATCACATTCATAATTGTAGATATTTGTGTTCATCAGTAATGTGGGTGTATAAGGACTTTACTACGCACCATGTATAGTATTGGTCTACAGTTTGAAAGTCACGTGATAGGACGCATTTGCAAAGGTTCAATTTGTTCTGCCTGTTATCACTGATACCTATTACCTACACACTTATTGGTTAACTATATAAAACCTAACCATAAAATAAAACTTTTCTCGTGCTCTAATTTTTAGTAGGAGTACAGTCGACCCCCTTATAAGATTGTTGATTTTTCCGTTTTATCTGAATTACATGTTGTACGAGTCACTTAGATTTTACAAATATGTGAGCCGTTCACAGCCCGGCACACGTATTTGTAAAATCTAAGTGACTCATACAACATGGAATTCATATAAAACGGAAAAATCAACAATCTTATAGGGGGGTCGACTTGTATAGCAAATGACACTGACCATTATGCTAAAAGGTAACTTAATGCAATAACTACTTGTTCTGTAATTTTTAATATAACAACAGTACTGTAAGTTCTCGTTTTATGCGGTGGATATGTTCTACAGAAAAGCGCATATAAAAAATTCGCATAAAAAAAAGACTTTACTTGCCTTGAAAAAGTAAGGATACGTTCCGTAATTTTATAAAATTGCATAAAACCAAAACAACGAGTTAAAATTAACTTAATTTCTGCAAACTTTTTTATGCGGTTTTAAAAGAAATAGGCTGCTTAATAAATTACTTCGAATGTCTGAAAGAAATTCATATAAAAGCTTAAAATAAACTTGTATTCAAACTTAATTCAGTTTATTTTATTGAAAAGTAATATACAAGGGAAATCCCCGAATTGCAAAAGCTCACTCTAAAAACAAATCACTGACATCTGGATGTAAAGAGTTAAAACCCCTTTAGTTCCTCGCCCGTGTTAACTCGGGCAGGTTACATAGCGTTACATAAAATACGGTCCTTAAGGTCCACGGTCTTTTGAAAATTTTTTTTTGAATTTTTGGAATGTTTTTTAAGTCTCCACATTTTTAAAAAATATTTAAAAATATATGGCCAGCTAGTGTTCACCCTACTTTAAACCCTTGTCCTCCCGCGACGTCTATGAGAATGCCCCGGGAAATCCGACTCCAGCTGTGTTCAAGGTCATCCAGATGTGTAAACAATGACTCATCAGTGTTAAATTTCACAGAAGGGCGAGACAAAGGAAGTTAAACTTTGAAGCTTTTTCTTCAAAATTAAGGCATTTCTTTCATTTTTCTCAGTTTTAAGTATTTTTTATGTTTAATTACATTTATATCAAAAATTTCTAGGAACTAAAGCGATTAAGGTAGATCTAGCTGTCCTTTACATCGAAACTACTACTTCACACCTAAGTGCTAATTCCAGCACATGAACGATAAAAAACTTTAATGTTCTAACGTTTTCTGCCGTCTTTCAGAGGCCCTCGTCAGGAAAATATTACAACGAACAGAAAAACAGTTTTATCTCATGTATATTCATGAGCTGGAATTAGCAATTAGGTGTGAAGTAGTAGTTTAGATATTTAGTTCCAGTTTCTGAGTCAGTTTTTTATGTCCTTTACATCCATAAACGTTATATGTCAGTGGAACAAATGGAGTGAGCTTTGAGCGTTCCACGATTTTTAGAGACTGTCTATACGCGGGCTTCCTAAACAAGCTTATATGTATGTTTGTCCAAGAAATTTTTGGGTGAAATACAAACTGCACAACTTCAAAATCGCATAAAAATAACCCGCATAAAAAGAGACCTTACAGTATATCTCTTGATGAAGGCAGCCATATTTTTATTTAAAAATGCCGTTTTCAGAAGACTTGACTGTTACTTAACAGTGGAGAATTTTTCTCTCGAATGTCCTCTATAGTAGCTACAGCTCACCGATGGCCAAATGGAGAAAAACTAATCTGAACACTAGTAATTGGTTGTGGGTTTGCACCTGGCTACCGGGCTGGTCACTATACATTTGTGGCCATAAGTACAGAGTTTTCTGGGTTTTCTTCACCTTTAATCCAGTTGTCACTGTTCTTTTCATTGCGTATTACACACTGACATACCTCATGAACACTGTAGAATAGAAATTTCTATTAAATTAGATAAGTAAATAAATTACTAACTGTGTAAACATGGGACTAATTATGGTGACACCTGTTTTTGAATGCAATAGTCTAGTCTAGTCTACTCGTCTTTTTCTAACCTTGGACATGCTTCTGCCAGAAATAGTTCCTTCTAAAACTTTAAATTGGGAAGAAAGTCTAATGTATTTAAAATAATTATCAACAGTAATAACTAAGTAGAGAAAAGGACATATATTTAATGTTTTCATATTTTATTCACTCACATTTTCAATGATTGATCGAATGGCTCCATCCTTTGTTTTTGAAATTAAACATAGCTGGCATTAGCGATACCAGGGAAGGAATTACTTTAAACAGGGAAAAGAGAACATACTTTCACAGATTCATTTTGGTGGTGGTCCAATCCCTTAGACAGGAATGAATGCAGCACAGCAATCTGCTTAGATTTTGGCACATGTGTATGGTATTCAAGATGGCAAATGATACTGATACTGCTGTTATCCACATTTACAAATTTTGTTTTGTATAGCTCGCTTTATTTAGCTAGATGATTTTGGATTAGAGATATTTTCTTGGATTGAGAAAGAACTGGTGTACAAAATATGTTAGTTTCTCTATTAGGATCTCTCGATAAAGAATAATATTTCAACTAAGATTCATTTGTTTTGTACATGATTATTTGTTAAGTTTATTATCCTTTCCTCTTTATTCTAATGTCAGTTATCTCGGTTAACCACATTGAACTTTCCGCTATTAAAACAAAAGATAAAATTCAACCAACTTTCGTGTAAGAAAACGAACGATGCAGGAACGAAGAATGCAGAAAAAAATTTGCATTAAATATATGTGTCCTTATTCACAAATGGGAAAAAACTGATAGCTGCAGGAAAATGATTAAAATGGGAATGGTATCAATAGATTGAAGTTTCACTATTATATATACTACATATGGACACTACTGACAAAACTGAAGTGGCTTACCACTACAGACCTCCGTAGGTACTGTAGGAGTGGCCTGATGGTGAATGTAATTTTATTTGCATAATCGTAGAAAATATCTCGTTCTGAATATATTGATAAAATGCAAGTTTACCCCTAAGTTTTCTTGGGGTATGATAAAGATCCCTAGCCACTCTCTCCACAACCCTGATCCCAAGTGTTCATACTGAGTAAAATAGAAGGTATATTAAAGGTGTAGTACTAACAGACCCTTAATATAATTGCATCCGGTGGTGGACTGGCCCACTGAGAAATCTGGAATTTAAACTGCCTTTGTAGAGCCCAAACTGACTAATGCTCGGCACCGCCTGCATTTGATCCCGGATCCCCCAAAGCCGTAAGCTGGTGCATGTCTGTTAAAGGTTGTTTTTTTGCTGAATATTGTGTGCTGATACTGTAATGTCCTGTACAATGTCACAGAGGGTGTTTGAAGTGGGAGCCAGCAACTTTGTTATGCAATGTATGTTCTTTGATAATATTCTGCCAAACTCTTTGGAAGATACCTGGAAGTTCTCTAATGTGTATAGCTGCTGCTATTATTTGTCCAAGATCTGACTGCACTGCAGTTTTGAACAGAGCAAAACTTTTCAGTGGCCCTCTACAGCACACATGATACATTTCTGATATGCATACATACGTGTGTGTGTGTGTGTGTGTGTGCGCGCGCGCGCACACGATTCCAACAATAAAAATTTGCTTGTGAATGTACTGTTGCTCCTCAGTTTGAATATGATACAAACTTCAAACAAATGATAAAAATGCCAACAAGGGGGGTACACTGGTTCAATGTTGATGGGATGGTCTAAAAATTTAACTGCTATGCATAGGCTGACCATTCTCTCTTAGCCAAAATAGCAATGGCTAAGAGAAAATGCATAGGCTGACCAATCTGGGATGATCTACCAATCAAGGAAATTGCCTTCTGGGAGGTCTTTCAAGGGAAACTAAACTGGCCCCTATTTAAGCACTATTACAGAAAACCTGGAAAATTTCACAAGCTAGCTCGTTGGTCCAAGCACAAACCCAACAGAATGACCAATATTTAGGGATTACATTCGCTCAGTCATTGGTGCAATATGGCCGTAGGATGTAGAAGGATGCACAGATGGATTCTACATGGAAAATTTTTTGCAGCAATCTTGACCGGGATTCGATCCTTCAGGGACTGCTTAGTCGTCTGTTTTTCCCATACATTGAAATCCAGCCAATGTATATAACAGCTTGCATAAACATTTTAGCAGCTCAGAATATACAAGTAAGGACAAAACCTGTACTTTACTAATAAAAAGGTAATAGGATCTCTAGATCATTTTAAGGGAAAAATGAAAAATTTCTCTTAAAAAATTAAAAACTATTAAAACTAATTTTCTTTTTTCCTTTAAATATTCCCTTTTAGGAAATTAAAACCACCAAACAGTTAATACAGTAGAGCGTCGATTTTCCGAATCAATTGGGGACTGGGGTTGTTCGTATAACTGATATTTCGGATAACCGATTTATGTACGAAAAAATAGTTTAACGTATCCGATGTCGAAATTTTTCTCCGTTGCGTGTCGCTTCGCGTTGAATTTTCGTCGATGTTAAGCCTAACAAAGACTATTGTATTGTTAAAAATTATTTTTTTATTTTGTACAAACAAAATAAATATATTGAAAAATATAAAAACAACAAAAAATTATACTTCAGATGTTAATTTAGTATCAAAAACGTAAAATATTTGAGTAGCCCGAGACATAGGCAAAGATTGAAGCTCCACAGCACTGGCGAAAATTTAAGTTTGCCGACTGGAAATCTTTCGGATGATTGACTTTCGGAAAATCGACGCTCTACTGTATAATTTTAGAAATGGTCTCAGATAAAGTCAAAAAAGGAGAATGTAATAAAAATAAAAACAATGTATACGTTCTTCACTGAATTTGTAAAAACTTTTAACTTGAAAAGTATCTATTTTAAAGAGGAACATAACCTGTCCGAAATGCATATTTAATAAAATAGAATAGCAAAAAAGTCTCATGATGTTTAAGTAAAAATATTTCCCAAAAGATGTGGTAAGTCCTCAGACTAGAAGCCAATGTAAAAACTTGACCATTAAATTTCAAAACTAATATCTAATTTGTTCTTGAAAGCTTCACCATATTGCTAAAGCTGGAACATGACATACAGAGGCAATTATAATAAGTTTACAGTGTGGATTCAAAGTGCCAAACTTACCTTTACCAAAGAGAAACTACCAAGGAAAAATTTGACTCTTATTTCAGATGCCACAATTTGTTACGGAATCCACCACTGGTTTAGAATGGTTCCTTTCATACAAGGATACAATTATAGTAACAATGATTTAATGATTGATGTTGCTCTCTCCAAATTACTTCCATGTTAGAATTGTCATGTTAAAATGTCTATTGTCTTGATTAAACAGTACCTATCAAGATAGGTACTGTTTAATCATGTAAATAATCCTGGGACAAATATATTTATGCAAAAAGATATCACTAAAATATGTGTCTTGTGGGAAGTAAAGAAATACAAACAATTATGAAAAATAATTTTATTAAGTTGAATCAATTTTTTTTTAAAATTGATAAGAAAATCTTACACGAGCACAGTTCTATGTACAGTACATACATTAGGTACAGTTGGTTCAACTGATTGTCCACGAAATCTGTTTCCTGAAGCGCCTCTGCTCGTTCAAGAACAATTCTATTTCCGGATCGGAATCCATCTCTCCATCGCTCTCAAAATAGATTACCGGATATTCATCAAATGTAAATATACTTAAATTGGAACAGTTTACTGCCACATGTTTGACTGCATTACTTGTTAGGAAACAACAGTTCTTCATGCAGATTTCCTTCAGTTTGTCTTTACAGGCACCGCTTACCAGCAACCTCACCCCTTCATCGTGAACCATGGTGTTGGAGAAGTTGATGAATTCCAAATTGTGGGCAAACATCCCAAGTGCCTCTAGTGACCTATTAGTCAGATTGATGCAATTACTGATGTCCAGACATGCGAGATTGGGGCAAGAAACTGCTAGTGTGTTCACCGCGTCGTCAGCAATGTTGACGCAGTGACTGAGGCACACTTCTCTCAGTTTGCGGCAAGAGTCAAACAGAGTGGCAAAGGCAGTGGAGCTGATGTTCTCTCTAGGATCTACAGAATCCAAGTTGAGCATTTGTAACTCCTCGCACTCTGCTAACTGTAACAGTCCATAATCTGTGATTTCACACTCCATTAAGTTAGCCACTTTCACTTTCTTGTGTATTACTGCTTCAATATTTTTATCTGTTACCTTTCCCCTGACACTCATCATGGAAAAAAGAACATCCTTGATCCGAATGGGGAGCAATTTCACGACATCCCAATCATCAGTTCTATGTAAGAATTCTACAAAGGCATTAATGGAACACTCGAACAGAGAGAGAGCCTCGTAGCTCTGCACTTGCGACATGTTTTCTATTTAGAACCTGAATTTAAAAAGAAATTTAAACTATAAAATTTTATCATGTTTTTAAAACAATTTATCAATTTAAACTGCTTTAAGACACCAAAAAATTTAGGCTTGCTATGTTCTTTAAAATTATACAGGTAACTTTGATACTCTTTTGCAGATTTCCAATATACAAATTCTTGATATGAGAAATTACAGTATGTAATTTGTAAGATAATGTATAAATGTGATATTTCAAGCTATTTGACAAAAATAAAATTTTTAATGAATTTTTAAAAATTATGACTGCATCCTGGAGAGGACTCACTGACGTATATTGTGATGACCCACCCAGTCCTGAACGTCTTTCATAGAAATATCTTACCCTTTGCAAACTGGATAGCAAAAACACAGAGGACTTCTAAATATATTTATGAAGTTTATATTGTATATTGATATTGACAAAGTTGTAAATATATTCACAACATTTACCGTATTTTGACAAGTATAAGATGCACCCCTATTTTGAGACAGAAAATTTAGAAAAAACTTTTTTAATGGGAGATTGCATTTTATTCGCTTTTTATTCAAGAATGTGACGGATGCATTTTATTCATTTTTTTTATTAAAAAGATGCATTTTATTAGTTTTTTATTCAAGAATATGACGGATGGGTGAATCGACACCTTTATTAAACTGAAATAATGGTCATTTCTTAATGTAAACTCAGAGGTCACGCAATGACAGTCGACAGAACATGGCGGCGATGACTCGTGTGTCGCTATTCTGATAATCTAGGTACTCTAGCCATTCGGTTGAGGGACCATGTGCTTAACGGATCACTGCACAGGTTAGTCCCTAGAGTGGACCACTACTGTAAATAATTTCACTGTAAAAATGGTTACCTGTCGAGTATAAGACGCACCATGATTTTGAGCCCCAAAAAGTAGTAAAAAAAGTGCGACTTATACTCGTCAAAATACGGTACATCCAAGAAGAAGGCAATTAGATACATTGTAGGCAATCAAAGGTTTTCTTGAAGATGTGAAAACTTCATTTTGCAATATACATAACATGTTTCTTATTCCACTAAACTCCCCCTACTAAATATCTGATGACACACCTGGTAAGACAACAAAAACAAAGGCATAACTTTTAGAAAGGTATACAAGCTTAAAGTATTACACTGACACTTTTACAGTTTTTGGCTTTTTGATATTGCTCATCCTATACCTGAATGTAGGCAACACATAGCATAATTAATAAATAATACTGTATATAATTATAAAAAAAGCATTATTAAAAAATGCAATAAAAATTTATTATAAAAAATGCATTATACTAACTTGTAAGAGTGAGGTATTAATAGGCTACAAAGTGTAGTTAATGACAAGAAAAAAAAAATACAAAATACTGTCAATAGTCAGTATGTTCAACTAGAATATTGAAAAGAACTTTTGCGCTTTTAGACAAAGGCTATGTATTTACTGTGTGTAGTCAAAATTAAAACTGTAAAAAGCACTAAAATACTGTATGATGTACTTGTATCAAATAAGTCACTCTACTCATACTCCATAAAATATAAATTAGAAAGCATCCTATAAACTTGCTTATACAGTAGAGCATCGATTATCTGAATCAATTGGGGACTGGGGTTGTTTGGAAAATCAATTTTTCGGATAACCGATTATGTATGAAAAAATATATTAACCTATCCCGTGTTGAAATTCGTTCTTTTCTTTCTTTCAGTAGATGGTGGTTCTTATGGAGTCTTATGGCTGTACACCTTTACTCCGAGTCTTGTGGGTGATTGCCATGTGACCGAAGAGTCAGCCTTATAGAATGGCCTAATCGTGTGCAAGGAAAGAATGTCTTCCAGGAGGACTTTTATGGAAAACTGGCCACTATTCAGGTGTCTTCGACATGGAGAAAACCCAGAAAATTCCATGCTACCAGCCCGTCCAAGCGAGGTGTGAACCCACAACTGAACTCCCAGTGTTCAGGTTCTAGTCCACTCAAGTGTGGGGATGAAGACTACTCAGCCACTGGTGGGCCAGGAATTTGTTCAAATCCTGGCATGTCCTTAAGTGCCCTCTCATAGTTGCGCCAGTGCTGCCAGCTAAAACACACACACCAACAAAAATAATATTGGAGTAGCCCAAGACAGCCAAAGATTGCAGCACCACAGCACTAGTGAAAATTTAAATTTGCTGATTGGAAAGCTTTCTGTTAATTGATGTTTCGGTTGATCGATGCTCTACTGTACTAGTAACTTCATAATCATTTTCATCAAAACGTCTGATACTAATCAGAGTGTATTCCCTGATTTTCTTTCGGTTTTTTTTCTTATTGGGTCATTCAGAAATTGTAAATTTCAAATCTGGTCATTTTTTATTATCGGCATTTCACTGAGGTTCACAACAATTAAACAGCATTTCATTAATATCTAAATACGTAAAAAAGCAATTTTAAGCAACATAAACACAGTATGGCAGATGAAACAGGAAGCAATGTATCCATAAGCCCAAAACTAGCACCACATATTGACTTTGAAAAGTGAAAACCCTATACTTTGTAACACAAAGAAAATTTTTTTTTGTGATGATTCCATTTGGAGGCTATTTAGTGAATTCTATAGAAGAAATTCAAAATCATGCTTACTCTTATTTTCAAAAAAGTGTTGACATCGTCAATTTTCTAAACACTGAATCAATGTCCCACAGATATAAAAGAAAAAGTCTCTGCAAATAGAAAAAGCAATTTATATTGTTAAATAAATCCAAAATCACAATAAAGTTCAAATTATGAAATAAATGTATTTAATAAGTAATCTTATGAATATGTTATAAAATATTTAACCATACATTCAGATAGTATTGAAGTGCTGAGATTGTGACAAAGTTGGCCCTTCTTTTGGCATCAAAATCACCAATATTTTTTCCTACTTCTTACCAGTATTAAATTGCACTTTGTTTATTCAGACTTCTATATTAAAACTGTACCTAATCATCAGTTTATAAAACATCTGTGGCAGCCGATATGTGAACTTCTCATTGCCACCAGAGGGCAAATGTAGACAGATATAAAAAAGCCAATTCGAACATGTGCCCAGCACCTTCTTACACTGTGATTCCTCATAGAGTGATCACAACTGTGAACTCTGAACTTTTTGTTAGCAAACAACACCACACACCTAAACAAAACTTGTTTTAATTTATTGTTGTTCTAATCCTTTTGTAATTATTAATAACTGGCAAATAAGCCCGGCGTCGCTCAGGCAAAAAGTAANCCTAGATCGGTAAAATAGGCGAATTTCCTCCTACAACTTCAGTTGTTGTTCGAGATATAGTTAAGGCTTTAACAAAGTTCGAGCGAATACATAATTAGCAAAAAAAGTTGAATTAAAGTGATTAAACAAAAATTATTACAAATATCGTAAATAACAGTTCACAAATGCATATATAGAGATATTTTTTGGAGGGGGAAAATGGTCTTCACAATTTGAAATGGATCCAACACACAGTGCTCGAACGCTCGTGTAAACGCGCGCCATCTATCGTAGGATAAATGTACTTCGCGAGAGGATATTAAAAAACTTTCCAAAGTTTCATGGCAATCATACTATGCCACAAACCTTCGCTGGAGTATATTAAACAACTTCCCAAAGTTTCACGGCAATCGGATAAACAGTGTGGTAATGCATGAAGGACACACACACATACACATTCATTTTTATATATATAGATTACAAGGTCTTTGGGTATGTTTTATCGTATGCAATGGATGTGTATAGTTCATGGGCTATCACCCGTATGGAATAATACAAACATAATTTAGAAACACAATCATAGATAGTCGAAAAAGATATTTAATACACTTGGTGTGAAAGTGTTGATGGAATGTGTGGTCAAGGCTGTGTGTTCTAAATGTACTGAAGAGAGTCCCTTAATAGGACCGAAATGCATCTACAGTAATTAAATAAAGAGAAGTCATTAGCTAACAGCTGTGTGTTGGTCTACTGCTAAACTTAAAATTTATATTTTTCGTGCAGACTTACAGAGACCTTGTAATATTCAAAAATTATTACAAATATCGTAAATAACAAATGCATATATAGAGATATTTTTTGAAAGGGGGAAATGGTCTTCACAATTTGAAATGGATCAAACACACAGTGCTGGAATCTATCGTAGGATAAATGTACTTCGCGGGAGTGTATTAAAAAACTTTTCAAAGTTTCATGGCAATCGTACTATGCCACAAACCTTCGCTGGAGTATATTAAACAACTTCCCGAAGTTTCACGGCAATCGGATAAACGGTGTGGTAATGCATGAAGGACACACACACACATTCATTTTTATATATATAGATAGATGAGGAATCCCCAAAGTTTGTCCCACTATTTCAGAATCACCCTGTATATCTAAAATATAGGATATAAACACAATAATAGAAATAGTTCTATCAAAGATATATAATAATAGAATAAATAGTGAAAATGTTTAACTATGCAATTGAACATTGAATTTACTTTTTCTCTATGAAACACAATTAAGGAGGTGGTTCTTTATGGATTTTTAAGAACACAACAATCCAGCTTGCATGGTTAAATGAATCAATGGTCATATGGCATATGGCATAGTTTAGAATGCCTTTATAAATCCCCTTTAAAATGTTTAAAGAAAATTTGAACAAATAATAATTAAACACTAGAAAATATTTTAAATAATTTTCATACATGAATCCTATCTTTGAATAGGTGCATTTCTTTTTTTTCTTGACAAATGTCAACATTATATTGGCAAATATGCCATGAAAAGTCACACTATAATCATCCAGAGATATTATGTAATAAGTAAGTGATATATATAAATGTTTCTATCACACTTCAAATCTATATTGTCAATAATTTAAGTTTTGGCATTCATAATTCACTTTCCAAGTACAAAGTTCAAATTTAGCTGTGACATCATAATTTGTTTGAACTAAAACATCTCTGGCGAAAGACTAATAATAAACAAACTTGCAGTATAAGGTGTGTACACACAAAAAAAAGAAAAATTAAAGGAGCTAAAGTTTTTACACTTTTACATATTATCCAAAAAACTAACCTGCAGTCAGCAACTAATTGTTGTAGCTGTGTACCGCAATGAAATTAATATTTCTAGACAGTGTCTTATGTAAAGTATCAACAGTAGAAAAACATGCTTAGTTATTTTAGAAAAACTGAAAATTGAAATGACACCAAGGAAAAAACTATTGGGAATTCCATATAATTATGAATAGCAACAAAAGGAAGATGCATTAGGTGCAGTTCTCAATGGCCATTTGTCATTTTAGCAGGCAGATCAATATAGGGTGCCAAAATCAATCTTATACAGCAATTGTTTAGACAGACCCTCAGCATTGAAAATTTTAGATGGAAAACTAATGGCAGCAGCAATCTTTACTGCAGCATAATGTTGTTTAATAATGCATTAGGGGAAAAATGTTCATTTATATTTCTTCCTATCAAAGATATTTCTCATATGCACTTAAAATATAATCTTATTAAAACACATGAAAATAGAGGTATCTATACATTTCCTAATTTGTATTCTGTAACTTCTTTTTATGTGATATAATAAAAGATTTAAATAAGTTGTTTATTTTGGTGAATTTGTGTCTTGAAAATACCTACTGAATACCTACTAGTTACCTAGTAGGTGTTCAGTTATCTTCCTAATAATTTTTTTGGTTAAAATTTTTTCCATAAAGCTACACTACAAATTTATATGAATATCCTTTCAAAATATTATTAATATATCTCCATATAATGGGTTACATGAAACAGTGGCTTTCAAAATAAAAAAAGTATATGCAATAATTTTTCCATAAATTTTTCCCCTAGCAAAAATTTTTTTTACTACAGGCTTCAATTTCCATTGTTAACTTTCATGTCAATATTACAGTAAAGTATAACTGAAAAGTATTAAAAAATTCATTTCATGTAGCTCCATTCTATAGTACTTACATTCAAGAATTACTAAACATCAAATGTATTTCTAGCAAGTTGAGAAAATATGTGAGAAAATACTCAGTACGCTCCGCATACCGAGTATTTTCTCACATATTTTCCACATATTTTGTAAGTGAGAGCAAGTATTAGACAGACAGTGATATTATGTAAATCTTACTGATGTGCTGGCATTATAATATTTTATGATTATTCATTCTTAAAAATTTGAGAGGTATCAATGGAATCCAGGAGTTTATAAAGTTCCTGTGAGACGAAAGATTGTGCAACAATCTAGAATATATAGGCTTTACATTGTACTCGCTCAAAGTTAGAATAGCAGAACACAAGTATGCTATTAATAAAAAGAACAACACTGCCTTGGCCACTTATGCGTCTGATAACGATATACACACCCTATTCAACGAGATGACTATAATCAAAACATCTAGTCATCCTGAATAAATAAAAACCCTCGAGGCCATAGAAATATTTAAATTGGAAAACAAAGGCCATTGAAGTAGATCAATGCCTGTTGCATGCTTGGAAAACACTACATGTACTGTACATAGGAACAATGATGATACAAGCACATAGAGGGATTGCATCATCATAAATAATATTCAAGATAAAAATAATCATTAAAAATCAATGTATTTTTTATACATATTCTTGTAATTTTCCTGTAGTTACATTGATACTTAGCTATATTTTGTATTTTATGGGTTCAAAAGATTCGTTATTTTCAAAGTTTTATTAACATTCCAAAAAAGCGTTCCATTTTTAAAGTAGACCCGAAGAAGATCTTGTCTTTATAGTTTAACAATACTGAAAATAAAAAAAAAGACTAAGTGGATTTATGCTTTCATTGAGATGTATCTTTTTTTCAGAAAAACTGGCAGAGATAGCATAGTTGTTTTTAGAGCCATTTAAATACAGTGAAACCTCACTATACGACCTTAATCCGTTCCCGATGTTTGGACTTATACCGAAATGGACATATACCAAACCAACCTTTCCCATAAGAAGTAATGTAAAAATGATTAATCTGTTCTCATGTAAAAAAAAAAATGGCTGGCTTTAAACATCTTGCTTTCCTGGCTAGTTCCTGCTTGATTTTTTGTGAGATCAGCGTGTATCTTTTTAGCTTTCTCGCAAATAATTGCTTCCGATACGCTGTCTCCAGCACTGTTTTTCAGTTATCCAAAGCAAAAGAAATTTCTTGACATGATCTAATGTCTTTGATCTCTGTTTAGAAATTGATTTAACCCCTTTCGCAACGTTAGCAGATTTAATAATGTCTTTATTTTTCGCGATTATCCATATTGTTGTTCTCAGAATATGGTAGGCAACAGTTAAAATCTCGAACACGCATGCCACCTTCGTATTTCTCAACAATCTCTTTTATCAGTTCCATTGTAATTCTAGTCATTTTTTTTAGTTTTCTGTCGCTTTTCATTTGCCTTTTTGCGATTCGTGATTAATAAAAATAATAAAATTTTACTTACGAATTAAAATCAGAAGAAATTTAACAAAGTTATAAACCGTTGCACCGCAAACGTCTANATAAATAATACTGTATATAATTATAAAAAAAGCATTATTAAAAAATGCAATAAAAATTTATTATAAAAAATGCATTATACTAACTTGTAAGAGTGAGGTATTAATAGGCTACAAAGTGTAGTTAATGACAAGAAAAAAAAAATACAAAATACTGTCAATAGTCAGTATGTTCAACTAGAATATTGAAAAGAACTTTTGCGCTTTTAGACAAAGGCTATGTATTTACTGTGTGTAGTCAAAATTAAAACTGTAAAAAGCACTAAAATACTGTATGATGTACTTGTATCAAATAAGTCACTCTACTCATACTCCATAAAATATAAATTAGAAAGCATCCTATAAACTTGCTTATACAGTAGAGCATCGATTATCTGAATCAATTGGGGACTGGGGTTGTTTGGAAAATCAATTTTTCGGATAACCGATTATGTATGAAAAAATATATTAACCTATCCCGTGTTGAAATTCGTTCTTTTCTTTCTTTCAGTAGATGGTGGTTCTTATGGAGTCTTATGGCTGTACACCTTTACTCCGAGTCTTGTGGGTGATTGCCATGTGACCGAAGAGTCAGCCTTATAGAATGGCCTAATCGTGTGCAAGGAAAGAATGTCTTCCAGGAGGACTTTTATGGAAAACTGGCCACTATTCAGGTGTCTTCGACATGGAGAAAACCCAGAAAATTCCATGCTACCAGCCCGTCCAAGCGAGGTGTGAACCCACAACTGAACTCCCAGTGTTCAGGTTCTAGTCCACTCAAGTGTGGGGATGAAGACTACTCAGCCACTGGTGGGCCAGGAATTTGTTCAAATCCTGGCATGTCCTTAAGTGCCCTCTCATAGTTGCGCCAGTGCTGCCAGCTAAAACACACACACCAACAAAAATAATATTGGAGTAGCCCAAGACAGCCAAAGATTGCAGCACCACAGCACTAGTGAAAATTTAAATTTGCTGATTGGAAAGCTTTCTGTTAATTGATGTTTCGGTTGATCGATGCTCTACTGTACTAGTAACTTCATAATCATTTTCATCAAAACGTCTGATACTAATCAGAGTGTATTCCCTGATTTTCTTTCGGTTTTTTTTCTTATTGGGTCATTCAGAAATTGTAAATTTCAAATCTGGTCATTTTTTATTATCGGCATTTCACTGAGGTTCACAACAATTAAACAGCATTTCATTAATATCTAAATACGTAAAAAAGCAATTTTAAGCAACATAAACACAGTATGGCAGATGAAACAGGAAGCAATGTATCCATAAGCCCAAAACTAGCACCACATATTGACTTTGAAAAGTGAAAACCCTATACTTTGTAACACAAAGAAAATTTTTTTTTGTGATGATTCCATTTGGAGGCTATTTAGTGAATTCTATAGAAGAAATTCAAAATCATGCTTACTCTTATTTTCAAAAAAGTGTTGACATCGTCAATTTTCTAAACACTGAATCAATGTCCCACAGATATAAAAGAAAAAGTCTCTGCAAATAGAAAAAGCAATTTATATTGTTAAATAAATCCAAAATCACAATAAAGTTCAAATTATGAAATAAATGTATTTAATAAGTAATCTTATGAATATGTTATAAAATATTTAACCATACATTCAGATAGTATTGAAGTGCTGAGATTGTGACAAAGTTGGCCCTTCTTTTGGCATCAAAATCACCAATATTTTTTCCTACTTCTTACCAGTATTAAATTGTACTTTGTTTATTCAGACTTCTATATTAAAACTGTACCTAATCATCAGTTTATAAAACATCTGTGGCAGCCGATATGTGAACTTCTCATTGCCACCAGAGGGCAAATGTAGACAGATATAAAAAAGCCAATTCGAACATGTGCCCAGCACCTTCTTACACTGTGATTCCTCATAGAGTGATCACAACTGTGAACTCTGAACTTTTTGTTAGCAAACAACACCACACACCTAAACAAAACTTGTTTTAATTTATTGTTGTTCTAATCCTTTTGTAATTATTAATAACTGGCAAATAAGCCCGGCGTCGCTCAGGCAAAAAGTAACGATAGTGAAGATTAAGGTTATTACATTATAGCCAATCTTAACCATTTTCACAGAATGCAAGAATTAGTCCCCGTTTCCAGAATAATTAGAGAATTTTTACATGGGTCTAAAAATATGTTTGATTTCCCACAAAAAACTGCATCTGCACCTGTAAATCTTGCACGCCGTTTTCTCTTAACACTTCCATTGTTAAGGAATACACTTCTTTCATCCCCCGTGGTACCCTACTAAAACACAGTCAAAAATGCAAAATCCCGCATATAAAATAGTACAATAGAAGCCGAGTTCTTCAGGGTAAGCCTTAATCCTCTCCCTCTCCCCTCTGGGGGGATTTCAAAAAATCCCTTCTTAGTGTGCATTCTTGCAACGACCCTAACTGTGTACCAAATTTCAACTTTCAACTCCTAACCGTTTGGGCTCTGCACTTATTATAATTATCAACCCATCTCGATTATATACATAGATTTATAAATTACAATACTAACAAATATTGTAAACCGCAACAACACAATTGTCATCATTTTATAAATCAAACATCTTATCTTTAATTAATTTAACAAACTGATAATGCTAATAATAAAGTTATGTATTAATTTCAGATATTCAGATAATTTCAGTATTTAGTCATTCATTGCTTGCACAAATTAAACTTCATAAATATTAAGAGAGGATTTGTTTTATATATTTATACATTTTCCTATATCACAATGCACACAATTTTTTTTGCAAAGCTCAACATCTAAACAAATACTGTATATAATTTATAAAGTGTGATTCTGAAATAGTGAGAAACTTCTGAGGATGATTCCTCAAAGGAAAATAAAGAAAAACAGTGAATAAACATATGCCCATAATGAGATGTTTTTGAGAAACCAAACATTTTACCATATGACAGGTGCAAGACAGATTTTATTGCATATTAACTCTTATATAGCACACTCAATTATATAGCTTCCTTCATAATTGTTCAAAATATCCTCCATGTGAGCATGGACTGTTGCATCCTTTTGAAGGTTGCAGGTCTCCCTAAATGGTGGTGTGGGCATTGAAAATGTGTTGAGCAGCATGTCTGCATTGTCAGAGTCTAGATCTTTGGGTGGCCCTTAGATAAAAATCCAATAAATTTAGATAGGAGGGAAGCATGGAAGCCATACCACTGTACTATTACCTGTCCACCTGTGCAGATACATATTGAGCCTGTGGATTTGTAAGGGGATTTCATAATTAATGTAAATCCGAAGGTTTCAAAATGTAAACATCCACAAGAAAAAAATCAAGAATCAGATCAGAAGTCAGTGGGAAAGTTGACACAGTTGTCAAGAATGCTTCGTCATCGTCAACATTTGACAATCATGTGACCTGTTCTCAAGACAAATGTATAAAAGCGTAAGCCACCGGAAATTCGAGGCGATCCAAAAAAAGTTATACTTGTTGAATGTGCCATCCTAGTCTCCCAGACCTCCACTAACTTAGATCACGGAGAAGACCCTGGTTGGAAGACACAACGGCTCTGAACTTCCATAGAGAATCCAATCATCACATACAGCATTTAATCAACATATAGAGGTATTTTGTAGCTATTGGGGAACTCTCTCTCTCAATGGAAATAGCATATCTGATTGTTCAGTCCCGTTGTAAATAGTCTACCTTGTAATAGTCATTTTAACCGCATTTAGTCTTTAAATATATTGATACAAGGTCTGTTCAAAAAGTATCGGACCTTCTTTTTTTCCGCGTAAACCAATGATGCGCGAGAGGCCTCCTTCGGTGGAGTTGTAGAAGGGACAGTCATGCACAACCCTGAATTTTTTCCCGCCTGCAGGAAGCGTCAATCGTTGGCAATCGACCTATGAGTGAGGTCATGTAGTGCGCTCTCGTCGGATTCCACTAAGCTGGAAAATGACTGAACAACGTGAGCAGCGATATTACATCAAATTTTGCCAAAAACCTTGGCGATACCCGAGTGTAAACCATTCGCAAGATTCAGCAGGCTTTCGGGGACGATCCTCGAGGCCAAAAAAAGCGCGGCAGGTCCGCAGCAATATCAAAGGTCATGTTGACAGTTTTTTC